TCGAGCAAGTACGGCTCCTTAGTTACGAGCTTCGAGTGCACGTAAAACTCCAAAGACAAGAATTAAGAAAAACAATGCTTGAATTCTTCTTACTGCAATAAAACAAAGGTACGTACAATATATAGAAAACTTATTGAATGTAAACAAATTAATCTTTCCTTTCTAGCATGATTCCTTCCTTTCAGTGATACCATCCAATCTTCTCAATCCTTTAATTATAGACATAATCATTTGTCATCCATCCAGCCTTTTTCTTCTCTCGATTTGTCCTCCTCAAATTAATGTTCTTTCCTTGTATAGTGGATCTTTCCTTGTCTGGTTCAGAAGGTTCACGAGTTTGTGTCATGGTAGTTGGCGTAACACTATTGAAGCAAAAAATTGTACTGAATTTCAAATTTTTATAGACCTACATAATAGAGGTTGAGCTAAATATTTTATTGATGTACGGGTATAAGGATGTATTTTTGAACAAGTTTTTTTTCAAATAATTTACAATTCTACTGTGCTTTGTAGTTTTCTCAATTACCTTTGTTTTTAATCCAAAGAAATAATTATTATATATTTTATCATGATAGTAGTTACGGAGTATAATCTGTTTTGTCAATAGCATTTTCCCCGAAAATATGTCGTTATTCTTGTTGAACAAAAAGTTTGAGAATGAAATGACAAAACACACTATACTCCGTAACTACTATCATGATAAAATATAGAGAAAAAGTACAAATATGCCATTAAACTATGTGGGTATAGCAATTAAGCCACCGAACTCGATCGAATAAGCTCCAAATTTATTTATGAACTCGAAAAGAAAAAGCAATTATCATTTTTAGCAGGTTAACAATATGATTGTGCTGATTGGAATTCCATGCATTTGACCCTCTTCCTCAATTGACCAAGAATCAAAATGAAATAAGAAACCCCTATTTCTTCTCTTTTCCGTGCGCAAGTTTGTCTCCGTCCCTCCCTTCATAGCTACTATCCAGTCAAAATTAGGGCATTGCATAGCTACAATCAGCAATAAAAAATATTCAAAATTTTAAATAATAATGAGAATGAAGCTAATCAAATAATTATTCAGTCCCATTGTTCCGCATTCGTAGGGAATTTTTCGCATTCGTATGCATACAAAGATCGAAACCAATGGGCAAATATATATGAACTGAAATTCAATAATTAAAAGAACAAAAAAAAAAAAAAAAAGGAAAGATAGAAACTTCTTATGAATTTTGCTTATGTAAATACAGATGGAAGGCGATAGGGTAGAACTTGCGCAAGGAGAAGAAAAGAAATAGGGTTTTTCTATTTTATTTGGAATCTTGGTCAATTCACGAAGATGGTCAAATGCGGCAAATTATGCCCTGGACCTGTGTCCACACTGAATTGTGGACACGGGCCCAAAACGACATCGTTTTTTAAAAAAAACGCGTCATTTAGTTTAAAAAAAAAAATCCGCGCGTTTTGCTGTTTACGGCGTTATTTTTTTTTTTTTTTTTGATTATGAATGTACAATTATGCCGTTATGAATGTACAGTTATGCCGTTATGAATGTACATTTATACAATTATGAAATTATGAACACAGAGCTCTAACATTATGAACTTACAATTATGAACATATATAGTGATAAAATTATGACCATGGAGCTTTAAAATTGTGAATATAGAGCTTCGAAGACTATGAATGTACAGTTATGGAGTTATGAATGTATAGTTATAGAGTTATGAATCTACAGTTATGGAGTTATGAATCTACAGTTATGAGATTATGAATCTACAGTTATGGAATTATGAATGTACAGTTATTGATCGAATTATGAACAAAGAGCTCTAACATTATGAACTTACAATTATGAACATATAGTGATAAAATTATGAACATAGAGCTCTAAAATTGTGAACATAGAGCTTCGAAAATTATGAATGTACAATTATGAAGTTATGAATGTACAGTTATGGAGTTATGAATGTACAGTTATTAACATATAGTAATAAAATTATGAACATATACTCCTATAACGAAGCGGTCTGAAATTATTAAAACAAAAAAAAAAAAAAAAAAAAGAAGAGATGACAGTGCCGTTAGGCACTGTTACCCGTGTCCAGCACGGGTCCAACGCATAACGATTGGTCAAATGCTTGGTAGGATAATAATAATAATAATAATAATAATAATAATAATAAAATATACATATGTCATTCCACTTAATTAATTGTTAAGGCTGAGCTGGAAGAGGATTGTATTGACCCAACAACTAAGCTGGGTTGTCAATTAAGGGCAAACCAAGAATGGATAGGAGGAAAGTGACAAATTATTGTATGGACCATGGTCCACACAGTGTTACATGAACCATAATAAAAAGTACATTTTTAATATACTAAATATACATTATTTTTGTACTGAATATACATTATATAATATAATGTACACTCAGTACAAAAATAATGTACATCCCTTGAATACAATGTACATTATTTTTGTTCTGAGTGTACATTATTTTTGTACTGAATGTACATTGTTTTATAGTATATAAAATATGGTCCACACAACTTGTATGAACCAGGGTCCACACAATAATGATTGGAGGAAAGATATGTAGATGGGCATGGAGAAGGCATGGCCCAGGCTACCCTCATGAAAAAGATAAGGAGGGGGGTTGCCTTGTGGAGTCTGCAGGAGCACAGAGCTGATGTTCAGTATGAAGAAGGGGGTTACTTATGGGTTCTATGGGCCATTCTAAAGCTTATCAAAGTGGAGGAATGGACTGTACTGGGACAGATTCTTAATTGGAAAATGATGTCTCAGATTTGAATTCAAAGAAGGAGCATGCTTCTTGTGTCTCGATGTAAGCCTGGGCTTTAAAGTTGGATTTGTTGTGTGCTCAAATGATGAGAAGTTGGGATTACGTAATGATGAGGAAGAGTTGGGCACCTGTATATGGCCGAATGGCTCTTTGATTTAATAAGGAGGTTCTTTGATTATTGAATTAGCCCAGCGTTATTTGGGGCCTACCATACTTGATGAACCCATGGAGTTTTATAAAAGCCTGACTGGGAGGGGCTTTTGGGCTTTATGGACCATGATATGCGATAGGCAGACGTTATGCCATGGAACCGTGTTCACCATTCTTGGTGAACACGGTTCTAACGGTGTTAGTACACCGTTATCTTCTTTTTTTTTTTTTTTTTTTTTAATTAATTGCGTGACTTTTCTTCTTTATTTTCACATTTTGCGGTTTTACTTTAATTTGAGGTGAACAAAGATTTTGGACATTTATAAATTATGAATTTATGCCTGCACATTCACTTTGGAACCATGCCTACACATTCCCGTCCGAAATTACGGACATTCATAAATTATGAATCCATGGCTACACATTCACTTTGGAACCATGCCTACACATTCACTTTGGAACCATGAGATTATGAATTTACTGTTATAAGATTATGAATTTTCTGTTATGAGATTATGAATTTTCAGTTATGAGATTATGAATTTTCTGTTATGCGATTATGAATTTTCTGTTATGAGATTATGAATTTTCATTACATTCATAATTTCGGACATTCATAAATTATGAATTCATGCCTGCACATTCACTTTGGAACCATGCCTATATATTCCCGTCCGAAATCACGGACATTCATAAATTATGAATCCATGCCTACACATTCACTTTGGAATCATGCCTACACATTCACTTTGGAACCATGAGATTATGAATTTTCTGTTATGCGATTATGAATTTTCTGTTATGAGATTATAAATTTTCATTACATTCATAATTTCGGAGTTTCGGACATTCATAAATTATGAATTCATGCATGCACATTCATTTTGGAACCATGCCTACATATTCCCGTCCGGAATCACGGACATTCATAAATTATGAATCCATGCCTGCACATTCACTTTGCAACCATGCCTACACATTCACTTTGGAACCATGAGATTATGAATTTTCTGTTATAAGAGTATGAATTTTCTGTTATGAGATTATGAATTTTCAGTTGTGAGATTATGAATTTTCTGTTATGCGATTATGAATTTTCTGTTATGAGATTATGAATTTTATGAAAATTCATAATCTCATAACAGAAAATTCATAATTTGATCAGTAACGCGCCGTTAACTCCACATCCGCGATTTTTTTTTTTTTTTGCCTAAAAACGACGTCGTTTTGACTTGTGTTCACCATTCTCGGTGAACACGATTCCACGGCATAATTTGCGTGCGATAGGCTTTTGGGCTTTTGACAGTGCTAGAGATTATTGAGAGGCAGATGTTTGGAGGGCTTCTGGGCCGGTGATTAATGAAGGGTTCTTGGGATAGGGCCAGTGGGCCTTGGTAAGCTAGAAAGCCGGTTGGCTTGTTGCTGCTTGAAGATAGCCGTAGGGCTTATTGGGCCTGAATAGGCTTTGCTACAATTCAGGCCAATATGGGCCTTTTGGATGATAGGCCTTATATGGCCTTGGTTCGAGATTTTGGAGGCCATCTTGGCTGGGCAAATTATTGCATGGATTATGGTTGTGTGGACCATGGTCCAAAATGATATAGTTTTGCCTTAATATAACAAAAATTCTCTCATTGCTGGTTAACGGCGCTAAATCAGTCGTTTCTTCTTTCTTTGTTTCTTCTTTTCTTCCGCGTTTCTTCTTTCCTTTTGCTCTCACCAGTAGCTATTTCTCTCTGCGATTTCATTCGGACTACGCAATTTGTTTCTTCATTCAATTTTCGGATTGTGTTTTCGGAATACTCATCTTGGATCATGGATAGTATTGATGATACGGAAAACTGAGTAGATGCGATTGAGTTGGGGGATGATATTATTACAGGTTTTGACACTATTTTTATGCAATTTATGATTCGTTTTTTATTTTTCTTTTTATGCAATTTATGATTGTGTATATATTTTTTTTTATGTATCGTAGGTGATTTGAATGCTGTGGTTAATGTTGATTCTACTTATCCAATTGGTGTTGATTTTAGGCATATAAATCCAGGTTTGTGATTCATGTATTGCAGTGAATGTGTGTGATTAGGGTTTGTTTAGTTGTTTGCATACTGTACATTATATGTGTTCATATTGTACATTATTTTAATGCATAATGTACATTATTTTCATACATAATTTTCATTATATTTCAGTTGATGTCACTTTTGGGGATGCAGTTGATGAGAGCTTACCTAATGTAGTCAATGCAAGTTCTTCAAATGCTATTGATGAGAGTTCATCTATTCCAGGTTTTGTTATTAATTAGTATTATTAGTATTATTGTAATTATTTTAATGACTGGTAGTTTTGTACGAAAACGATCATGTTGTAATGATTTGTAGTTTATTTGTTATTTTTCTTTGTGTTTATCTTATGTTATAATGAATTATTTTTGCCCCTAGGTATGCATCTCAAAATAGTTCAAATGATAATTGGTTGACATAATTTGCTGCAAATGTACATTATATTTGTCCTTAGTGTACATTATGTTTGCCCCTAGTGTACATTATTTTATATTGTTGTTGTTTGTGTGCATCAGAATGAAAGTTCCTTTCAATCTGAAAATATACATTATTTTTATCCTTAATGTACATTATTTTCCAATCTAGTGTACATTATTTTACTGCGTTGGTATTTAAGTGCATCAGATGTCATTTTCATTCAATTTGAAAATGTAGTTTATTTTTGTCCTTAGTGTACATTATTTTTGTAATTTTCAGTTAATCAGGAGCTATTGGGGCTTTCAGTTCATTCAATTGAAGAAGCGTTTTCTCTATATAATGATTATGCATTTAGGATGGGATTTAGTGTTAGAAAGGGGAAGCAATATTACTTTGCTGGTAGTCAGAATGTGAAGATTAAAAAGTTTCATTGTTCAAAGTTTGGTTTCAAATGCAAATCGGATAATTCTGTTAGGTCTTACACAAGGGTAGACACACGTACGAGATGTCTTGCTTTTTGCCAATTTGATGTGGACCCTAATGGGAATTGGATTGTGACAAAACATGTGAAGGAACACAATCATGAGCTGTGTCCATCTTCTAAAAGCTATATGCTAAGGTCACACCGAACCATTGGTATTGACCAATTATCCTATCTAAAAGACTTGAAAAGAAGTGGGGTTGCAGTGGCGGATGGCATCCGATTTTTGAAAAGACAATCTGGAGGGTCACCCTTTGTTGGATTTACACAAAGAGATGCATATAATAACTTGCTTACAGATTCAATAAAAAGTTTCGATGGCACTGATTCAAATTCATTAATCGACATATTTAGGCAGAGACAAATCAATGAACCTGACTTTTTCTATGATTTTGAAGTGGATGGTGATGCAAGATTGTGTAATTTTTTTTGGAGGGATGCAAGAATGAAAGAAGATTACGCGTTGTTTGGTGATTTGGTAGTACATGACACAACTTATCGTACTAATAAGTACGATATGATTTGTGGTCCCTTTGTTGGCATGAATCATCATTGTATGAATATCATGTTTGGGTGTGGGTTTTTGTTGAATGAAAGGATTGAATCATTTGTTTGGCTTTTTAAGACATTTTTGCGAGCCATGGGTGGTAAGTTCCCACAAACGATCATGACGGATCAATGTGCTGCTATGTCTGCTGCAATTTCTCAAGTTTTTTCAAACACAAGGCATAGGTTGTGTATTTGGCATATTGGGGAAAATTCAAAAAAAAAAACACATCAAAGGATTACGAAATCAAAACGGTTTTGTAGAGTTATTCAACTTTCTGTTGAAATACACTGATACGGAAGCTGAGTTTGAGTTTTATTGGACTAGGTATGTTTTATATTACATTTAACATTCTTCTCTACGTGTTTATAAAATCAAGTTACACAATTTTATGTTTTGTTAAGTATGGATTACATAGTAGTCATAAAATAATCATTTTTAGATATGTTTTAGAATTCCATGTTTGATGTGTTTGGAGTAATGCACTTTATTCTTTAATATTATGATCTTATGTTTAAAATTGGTTGTTGAGTTGAACACTGAGTTTGAATACAACCATCATTCAATTCCTTGGCATAAGTTTCTGTTAATGTACATTATATTTGTCCTTAGTGTACATTATTTTTACTCATAGTGTACATTTTGTTACAGTTTTGGGTTTTGACTTCATTAGAATGAGAATTTTATTCAATCTGCAAATGTACATTTTATTTGTCCCTAGTGTACTTTATATTTGCCCCTAGTATACATTATTTTACACTGTTGGTTTTTAACTTCATCAGATTGAAAATTTCAGGATGGTGACTGAATACAAGTGTCATGGAAATAGTTGGTTAGAAAAACTATATGATATTAGGGAGAAATGGTGTCCTGCATTTAACAAAGATTACTTTTCTGGAGGTATTCTATCTTCTCAAAGGAGTGAGACTACAAATCACTCAGTTTCAAGAAGGTTATCCAAGACAGCTGGCTTGTGTGATTTCTACAATTCTTTTGCTAATGTAGTTCATGAATGGAGGAGTAAAGAGAGTGGGGAGGATTTGCGTTGTTCTCAAGGGGTGCCTACAATGGCTATGGATCATGTGAAACTTCTTTCACATGCTAGAGGTGTATACACTATTGAAGTTTATTATTTGTTTGAGGAACAATTTTTGAAAGGTGGTGCATGTCATCAAGAGATAGTGGTCAGCTGTGGTGATGAGTTGAAATATCATGTATGGCGTCCGGATATTGACATTATTCGGCATGAGGTTTGTTTTAACCCCAAGGATATGAAGATTTGTTGTAGTTGTAAGTTTTTTTTCTGAGATGGGGATCTTATGCTCACATTGTCTACGTATTCTCAACATTAACTGTGTTGGAACAATACCTGACCAATATATATGTCAAAGGTGGACAAAAAGAGTTGTTGAAGATAGGATCATGGACATTTCATCTGGTCCAAATATGTCTACTGTTGCATCTTCCATTTGGGTTATACAAATGGGTAGGAAGTTCCAAAGATTAGTCATTTCAAGTCAAGATAACTACGAAGCTCGTGAAGTTTGTGAGACAGGTTTTGATGATTTTAGAAGAAGGGGATTGAAGCTAAAGTTGGTCCCATTACTGTAGATGACTTTGAAACACCTTTACCAAGTGGTGTAATACAGAATCCTGTACGTAGAGGTGTGAAAGGAGAGCGTAACCGAAGGTTGGTTAGTACAATGCAAAAGAAGCATAATCAAGCTAGAGCTCGAAGGAATTATAGCAAGGCGGTTGAAGAAAACACGAAAGCTGCAGCCCAATCATCGGTTCAACAGGTTGTTTCAGAGATTGTTGGGAGTGGATATCTTGTTCATTCAAGTGGTAGTAGTAGTTCAAAGTTAGTTTGTGCTAGGTCTGGATCACAGAATGTTTCAAATGATAATTGATTGAAGTTGTAATAGAATTTTACAGGATATAGACTTTGATTTAGAATTATGATCTTTATGTTTAAAATTGGTTGTTGAGTTGATTATTGATTTTGAATTTAATCAGTTGGTGCAATTCAGTGGTAACTTAATGGCTAGTTTGAATTTAACTAGTTGACTTCATCATAATGAAATTTTCATTCAATCTGCAAATGTACATTATTTTAGTCCCTAGTGTACATTATTTTTTCCCCTAGTGTACATTATTTTACACTTTCAGTTTTCGACTTCATCAGAATGAAAATTTCATTCAATCTGCAAATGTACTTTTTTTTTTTTCACTGGTATACATTATTTTTGCCCCTAGTGTACATTATTTTACACTTTCAGTTTTTGACTTCATCAGAATGAAAATTGCATTCAATATTCAAATGTACATTATTTTAGTCCCTAGTGTACATTATTTTACACTTTCAGTTTTTGACTTCATCAGAATGAAAATCTCATTCAATCTGCAAATGTACATTTTTTTTTCAGTAGTGTACATTATTTTTGCCCCTAGTGTATATTATCTTACACTTTCAGTTTTTGACTTCATCAGAATGAAAATTTCATTTAATCTGTAAATGTACATTTTTTTTGTCACTAGTGTACATGATTTTTGCCCATAGTGTACATTATTTTACACTTTCAGTTTTTGACTTCATCAGAATTAAAATTTAATTCAATCTGTAAATGTACATTTTCTTTGTCACTAGTGTACATTATTTTTGCCCATAGTGTACATAATTTTACACTTTCAGTTTTTGATTCCATCAGAATGAAAATTTCATTCAATCTGCAAATGTACATTTTTTTATATACATAAAAGCTAAGTAATGCATTAGGTTTTTGTAACCTATTAAAAACTTTGCATAATACTAGGAAATCAAATGCTATTAAAATTTTGATACTCAAAATATGGGTAATCACAAAAATATCTTTCCTAATTAGTTTTTGAAGCATAGTAACATATTAAAATTTACATGAGTTTTGTGACTGCATAATGCACTTGTCAACCAAAAAAATTTACATGAGTTTTGTGACTCCATAATGCACTTGTCAACCAAAAATTAACTTTCCCCTAACTATATCAACCTACTTCAAATATGATGAACATATAAAGTCATTTTGCAACATATATTTTGCCTGCTTTCTTCAGCAATTCCTCTTTTTTCTCATTGATTTCCATCACTAATATGCATGCTGCATACTTTGCTCTCAATGATTTTAGGATATTGGCCTGCACATGTATTCACAAATAATTGGGAGTTAATATATATATATATATATATATATATATATATATATATATATATATATATATATATATATATATATATATATATATATATATATATATATATATATATATATATATATGCCAATTCTTTATAAGGAAAATATGATAAAAACAATGATACCTACATCTTGTTTTGTTCTGGTAAAACCTGTAGTCTAGTTTGGACCAACACCTTTGAAGGTTTCAAGGTGCCTCATACAATAGACTCCACAATCTATCACATTGTCAGAATTTCTCCAATGCATTTTCACAATCTCATGCTGGAATGCATTTTCCTTTGCCATTTTGCTAAGCAATGTTGCGATTTTTCTTTCTTTTAAGTAGCCTTTGAAGGCATTTATCTGCACAGTAGTTAGTTCTCATAAATTATAATCATTAAAGAACTTATATATATATATATATATATATATATATATATATATATATATATATATATATATATATATATATATATATATATATATATATATATATATATATATATAGCTTCAGCCCTAAAGGAAGGGCCAACACCTAGCACTGTACTAAGTAGGGATCATGTGCAAATTGAGACCAAATAAAGGATTCATTGAAGCATGAAAGAACTGCAACTTACTAGCAATTTATCACAATTTTCATATTTTTTTTCAAAGGTGTTAGTTTTTCTAAGGGTCCTGTTATCTATCACTTGAAGAAGTAGCTTCTTAAAATTGAGACATAAAATGAAGTAGTGGTCATGACGAAGAACAGCAAAGAACACCTAATTTAGAATAGAGTTAACAAAACATTTAGAAAAGTAGAGAATAACCAATCACCAAAACGCCAAAATATTCAAATAAACTCATACCAAATCTGCGTCAGATATGTCCAAGTTGGAAACCATTCTAAGCTCGTGGTCTATTGCATCTTCAAATTGCTTTTGTTTGGTCATATCTGGCACCCCAAGTCTATAAGGAGCAGCTGAATCAACTTACATCTAGGAGAAAACAATATAAACAAAGATTAAAGAATGTATATTATATAGAAAAATAATTTCATGTAGGAGAAAACATAATGTACACTACTACTTACGAAGAAATTTGTGAAGTAGACGCATTTCGGTTCACTCATGCCACGGGTGAGATTTGTAATGTTCATCCTTATGCACCATACATCAACTATGCTCTTCTCCACCTTACCATCCCGCAAAGTTAGGAATTGGTCCCGTGCAATATAATTCCCGTCATATTTAAAGAGAAGTTCTCTGCAACAAATATACCCGTTAATACATATTAAAGATGAAAATTAGTATGTAATAGTTTCAAAGTTAGTTAATAGCATACTCTTTTCTGTGCTCCTCACAAGGCTCAATGAAAGCATAGTCAGATAAAAGCTTTTCTTTCTGAGTCACATCTAAAAGCTCTTTATTATACTTTGTCCAATACGGAGACCTATATTTTAATGAAAGATTTTTAAACTTTCTATGCTCTCTTTTTCTGATTCGGAAATCTTCAAGATCTGACTCGGATTCTTCAATGATACTGTAAAAAATATATTAATGACACACAAATATATGTATATATTCATGTGTATACAGTGAAACAATAGCAAATTTAAATAATGTACATTATAGGCAAAAATAATGTACTGAAGGGATAAAAATAATGTACAATTTCAGTATAACTTACTTATCCAGCAATGTTTTCTCTTCAGCAGGTGGGGTAGGTGTTAGAAGATCAAATCTTGGTAGGGAGAATGCGCAAGAACTTGATGTTTCTTTGAATGCATCCTCAAGTGCTGCTATTGCAGCCATGAAGTTCTCATCTTCAAATATTGGATCGTCATCCAACAGCCTTGGATCCTTCTCAGTCGGTTGTGAAGCTGACATTGTGGTTAGTAGATTAGATATCTTGGTAAATGTCATCTTCACAACTTCCTTGCTTGTTTGCTTGCTACCCACATCAGCCATCACCCCTCCAAATTCGACTACTGCAGCAGCAAATTTCATCATGCCCTTGGAGATCTTCTTAACATCACTTATTTCACAGTCTTTATCATGAACACCTCCACTTGTTTCTACGTTGTCAGTGTCTATAATAACCTCTTTAGCATCATGAACCCTCTTTGTAAGGCTGTCTAGGACCTTTCCTCTGCCAAATCCTTTTGATTGTTTTTCACTCATAATCCTCTTTTGAACCATTTCGAATGTCTAATTAGAAATGGCTGGGTAGTTCCTCTTAAATTGTTGCCCCTTGAACTGCAACCTATCAAGATATGAATACTAAAAAAAAATGTTAGGAAGAAAGCAAAAAATAGATTAAGATATTAAATAATATTTAGAATTAGTTGATATCGAATTAGATGTATTACCACTAAGAAAACAAGTGGCCCAGTGAAAATTGTACTTGTTTTTGCTTTCTTCCATCTATCAACTGTGTCAACCAAACACTTCATGATGTAGGCACACCAGTTTAAGTCTTTGATTTTCTTAACATCCAAGAGTGAGAAAAGGATTCTGAAATTTGTAACTCTGTTTGTATGGCCGTGGATGAGAGTAGAAACCACAAAGACAACAAAATCTATCTTGAACATGTCTCCATGTTCTTTCATTTCGGCGATTCCCGTTGAAAGATCCTTAATCAAAGGACCGCATGTCTCGATCTTCCATATTCTCCTCCACTGCTCCAATACACTGTTGTATTCCTTGGTTGAATTTGAATTGTTTCCTTCAAAAATTTCTATATCTCCTTTTGGGAGACCTAATGTGTTGTGAACATCATCTTGAGTCAGTTGCATCTTCTCATCTTGCAACATCAATGTACAGCTATATATATCAAAATTCTTCACCAGATATGCACATAATTCTGTATCCCAGCAAGACAATTTCAACTGTAGTAGTGATCCAAATCCAATATTTTCTACCGCTTTTCTTTGCTCATCTGTTAGTTTCTCCACCAACCGCAGGAATTCGATAGGTGACATTCTAGTTTTAAGCTTGTTTTTATTGATATGCTGCTGTTGCTCTACATTCTCAGATTGACTCATTTGTTTTCGTTTTCCTTTGGTTTTTCCTTGTGATGTTCCTTCATTATCTACTGCTCTAGCTCTTTTCCTTTGATATTTTCTTTTCATTTCAGCAGTATCTTTGTTTGAAGTCATCTTTTGCTATGGCTAACAAGATAAAATACACTGCATAAATGAAGTAGGCTTAAAACTTTGACAGTGGCATTAAAATGTTTCTGCTAAGAACATTGTAAAAAGTTATTAAACTACATACTTTCTTTATGCACTATTTGAAATAATGTTATTAAACTCTGGTTTACTGCACATATTCATATATAGCCTAAATCTCTTCATATTCCTAGCATCCCTTCCTTGACATATTATATTACAATATTACTATGAAAATGGCTATTACTACATATTTTTTGTTTTTTTTTTGCTGGTTCTTTAAGTGTCTTGGCCTACTAATAAATATTCAGATAGCAACTCGTACATAGAACTAAATATGGAATTCTATAGCACTTATTGTCCTCCATCACACATGACACTGTGACACATTCAAGCCCAAAAAACATTGACAATAAGATGGGAAATTAAATTGTTGAGACAAGGAGCAGCAATAGGACTAGAAGGACCGAAAGTGTACAAGGAAAAACAGGAAATATACATTTACAAATAATCAATCACCCAAAACTTTCAGTTTGTTTCAGCCTACATTTAAAGACAAAAGATTGAAGTCTTTCAAGATTACCTACAACAGATATCAGGCAAGTCAAGTTGCTCTATCGAATGAAATTTGTCCCTTTTACCAGAATATAATGATCATTAAATAAGAATGACCAAACTTCAGTTGTGAAATATTGGCATTATATCCCTGGGCAATTTTTGTCTATAGTTATGTGCATATTTGGGTTTACTACTATTATGATTCATGGACAAATCTCCTTGTCATTGACTCCTTGGAAAAGCTTTTCTTAAGGGTTAACTTTGAGTGCAAACATGAATAACAACAATAAATCATATCAAATAATGTACATTCATGTTGTTTTAAGCTCTAATAGGAGTGTGTGTGTGTTTAATAAGAATCATAGCAAACACATGAATGAAGGTTTTATCTCGTATAAACCCTAGGTAGAAATCACTAGTAATGTATAAACCCTAGGTAGAAAATAATGTATATTCAAGTGTTTGAAGATCTAATAAGAAACAATACCTTATGAATCTGTAGGTATGAAGCTTTCCTTCGTTTCAGTGATGGAGAAGACGAAGCGCATTGGAGTGGCGAAGCTCTGAGCATAGGTCTGTCATCGTCGAAGCTCTGTGTATTTTGAAAAAAAGTAGTGTGCTGTCATCGTCGAAGCTCTGTGTATAATGAAGCTTTCCCTCGTTAACGGCGTCGTCTCTTCTTTAAGAAGAGACGGCGTCGTTTAGGACCGCGGTCCACACATGTTGTGTGGACCACGGTCCATGCAATAAGCATTGTCTTGGCTGGTTAGATTGAGGGCCGTATGGCCATTTTGTAGGAGGCCAAAATGGCCCTTGTTGAGTTAGGCTCTTGGGCCTTTTAATTTTGTTTGTGTTGGGGTGGTCACTTTTGGGCCACCCTTGTACATATTATATACTTTGTGAGCCATGGCTCACTTTTAGGATAGTTATGCTGTGCATCTGTATGCACCATGCATGGTGCATACGGATGCCAAAATGACGTCGTTTTATTAAAAAATGCGCGTCTCCCATTTTAAAAAAAATCAGGTTCGATTCCCAGCAACAACATTATATTGTTCATTCATTCTGAAATTTTAGTTCATTGATTATGTAATTATAGTTCATCGATTATGGAATTGTAGTTCATCGATCTGAAATTTTAGTTTATAGATTATGAAATTTTAGTTCATTCATTCTGGAATTTTTAGTTCATAGATTAGATTATGGAATTATAGTTCATCGATTATGGAATTTTAGTTCATATGTTGTTGCTGGGAATCGAACCTGATTTTTTTTTAAGGGGTGACGCGCATTTTATTAAAACGACGTCGTTTTTGCATCCGTATGCACCATGCATGGTGCATACGGATGCACAGCATAATTTGCCTCACTTTTGGGGCCATGGCGTCTTTGTTAAGGCGTTAGCCTCTTTTGAGTATGGAATAAATCCACAGTTTAAAAAAAAAAAAAATTCCCCTAACTAGATTTAACTACAGCTTCTTTTTCTTCTTGTACGGGATCCCTTGTGCTTTGGTCTGGCATTCCTTAACCTCCCGGAGATAAACCCGAATCACGCCATTCCCGAATGGATTATTCTCTTGCGAGCCGCCATTTTCCTCATAGGCGGCCCGAGCTGGCCTATCAAGGCATTGAGGCTACCCAGTGCTTGCCCGAGAACAATCCATTCGGGAACGACGATTCGGGCTCGCCTTGATTAGGTCCCTTCAAGCCCTTCCTCTAGTGATTCCAACTCAAAATTGAGCTTTCAATTCGCGTTGATTACGTTCCTACCCTTTGTACGCACCGCTCGAAAAAAAAAAAAAAACATTTTATTTTTTTAGGTTTGATGGCATGAAGTGACTCTCTCATATGGGAGGTCATGGGTTCGAACCAAATATTACATTGTAACAAGTCAGTAGTATTCGAAAAAAAATTAATATTTAAAGAAATTATAATAAAACATTAAGAGATCGACCCTTTTTTTTTTGGTAAAGTAAGATGCTTACCTGGTGGAAAACATGGTATATGGATAGTGACTACGGGCTTACTCATAATAAAGAAAAATAACTTTAATTTGTAATTGTCGATCAAGCACTTAATTAATACTATGTCGCAGG